AACGTCCGCGATTTGGTCACTCTGTGCGTGCAATACATGCGCCGCCATATGGTGTCGGCCACCCGTCACAACCTACTGGTCCGGTGGCTTCAGTATATGCTTCAGTGCGGACACGACGGGGTCACCGGCGCCTGCATTGAGTACGTGTCGGCCAACTTCGAGGCCGTCGCCGACACCGACGACTTCGCGGCCCTCGAGACCGACATTTTGATTCACTTCTTGCGGAAGTCGGAGCTCGTGGTGAGAGACGAGTACCGATTGCTGCAGATTGTGACCAAATGGTTGGTCGCACAGGAGGTGAAGCTGCGGCTCGTGGGCGACGAGTTCTTCGACTCAATGGTTCCGCTGGTGATGTCGTTCGTGCGCTTCCCGATGATGGAGCCCAACCAGTTGGCGCACCTACTCATCAACCCTCTGATGATCCGCTACAAGGAGTTCTTCGTGCAGCACATGTCGCTCGCGATGCACTACCACACCGACGGCCTCACCGACGACCTGCGCGCCAAACTGCCGGCCCTCTCGTTCACACCCCGGCTCTACACCACCGAGAAGTGGAGCTCTAGTCTAGTGATTGAGAACTATCGCAATCTCCCGGTGTATGGCGTCCGCACTCTAGTCTTCAACACGCCGTCAGCCCTGTCCGAGCGCGACGGCCAGCGCCGGGCGGCCACTACCGGCCCCCAGACCTGCCTATTCAGCGACCAGTGCTGTCCGCACGAGTGGGCCATCGAAGTCTACCCCAAAGGCATTTGGTTTAAGAAGTTTTTGCTGATTCACTACAACGGATGTCTTGAGATACCGGAGTGGGTGTCGAAAACGGTTCGCCTGACTGTCCGCCAGAGCGACAAAGGGTTCGGGCGTCGCGTATCTATAGGGATACTGCTGTCCGGACGGGTCGATGGCATGGAATACATCCATCGCGTGGTGCAGAGGACGCACACCTTCACGGATCAGCACCGGCTCGTCAACATCGATGACATCATTCCCTTCGATGAGCTCAACGAACAGCTCGTCACGACTGCCGGTCCGATGGCCGCCGACGGCCTCACAAACGCCGGCAATACTACCAATAATACCAATACTAGTAATACTGGCAATAGATCTCCATATCTGGTGGGCGACGACACCGACACCCTTAAGATCCAAGTCGTGATAACTCCCTTATCTGACGATTAGGTTAACTCTCTATCAATTGATCCCTTTGTTAGACATTTGATGCGCTCTTTTTGACTCTCTTTTGAATTTTATAAGACTTTTATTAGAGTTGTACTTAACTTTTGGGACTTTATTTTCTATTTAAATTCATTGTAACCCATAATATACTCGTGTTTTAATTTTCTAGTGATCGTGTAATTAATATATGAGTTATTGTTTATGTATTATTCCTTTTAATGTATAATTCAATTGTCATTTCAAATGAATACTGTAATATAAATCAATTGTTAACTGTTTTTAAAAAATGATTACAATTTATGATTCTATTAAAAAATTACGATTAATATTACCGGTATTTTGTTTTTGTAATACATTAAAAATGCGATTAGTTTAACAATTAATTCTAACGCTATAATAATTTGATGCATTACCCATAATAAATAGATACCATAAATACTTTGATTTACTTTACGTAATGAAATAGTTATAGAATTCAATGCAATAATAGGTGGCGACTGAACCGCCGGCGCCGCGGCCCCAACCAGAGCCCGTCGTAGAGACTGAGGCCGACAGGGCGAGGGAGCGCCGGGAGATGGAAATGTTAGCCAAGTCTATCGATCGCCAGTCCCGCGTGGACTACCATTCCGGCGATCAGTTGTATACGTACGGCCGACCCCAGGGCCGACAGTACCTCCCAGACGGCAGTCCTTTATGGGACGTGCCGGTGATCGGGCGCCGGGAGGTGACGCCCAACACGTATGAGCCCATCTATGCCAGTCAGATGCCAATCATAGACAACCACCCGATGCTACCGATGCTAATGATGCGGACCAGGAGCTGATGGCCAGTTGGGCAGCCCATACGTCCGGACTACCCCCTCCTCCCAGGCCTCTGCTACCTGTGGGACCCAACGGTACCATTGATTGGTATGACGAGTTGTATCAGGCACAGCTCCAGGAGTGGGAGTACAACAACAAGTACTACGACCACCATAAGTAGGTGTGTCCGCACGGGTTTGTGGGCTTATAGTGTCCGCTCGTAAAACAAGATTTAAAATAAAGTTTTAGAGAAAAATCTATTTATTCATTAGATTTAAGTCTTATTTGATATGATAATTGGTTTGAGTGCGATGGACAGACAGTTAGAGTTTGCATTTGTTAGGTTAACGTACGGTAAGTAATTTGAAACAAATATATGAATGTTTATAATGTTTACTCATTTATTATAAGCAATTAAAACAATCGATGAGTTCAAATGGATATTCATTGCTTTCTCAGAGAACGTCATTAAAACTGCTTTACGAGTAAATGGTTGGTCTGTCTCTCCATTCCTCACATTCATCCGCTTCTTCTCAAACCACTTCCTGTACTTCTGTCTCATAGCCTCTCTCTTCTCTGTGTCCAATGTCTGGATCTCCTTTACATATGATAACTCCTCCTTGTCTTCATTGCCACTCTCATCAACCACTTCATCCATTACCAGTCCCTTCTTGTGTCGGTTACAAGAAGTCCCTGTGTTTACGATATTGTATTAACTTTTATATTATTGTGTCATTCAATCATTCATTCATTCATTGTTTGTTTCCAATTCTTGTTACGAGTAATCATTTTCATTCAAATCTTATTAACCGTCTAATCAGTGAATATTAGTCTTATTGTTATTACAGTACTGTTAGTATAATATGTTTTGCAGTATTTTGTGACACACTTTAAAGTCTTGTTTAAGAATTTAAGGAGAAATTAGTGATGATTTCTGTTTTTCATATTAGATTTTGTTTTGGTATTTAACACATTTATCACTATTTAATCAGTTATTCATATTATGTCTAATATGTAATTAATATTTAGCAATAATTATATGGATTTCAATTCTGGTCAACAGAATAGCCATGAATACAACCTTTAGTTTCCAACTTCTGGTGACTACAGAATCCAATTCTATGTTTAATTTGTCACAAAATTCACTAAAGAATGGCACAAATCATGGAAACAATTATGAACACAATCTGATGAAAATATTCACTCAAATATTATTCATATTTATCATGATTAATTGTGTTTTGATTACATTTGTAGTGCTCAATGTTTTCCGAAAATGTAAATCATTATATTTTGTTAATTTTCAAATGTTTTCTATTATTACATGTTTATTATATCTGTTTTTATAGTCAAAAGGGGTAGAGAATTAACGAAACGTTCAAAAGACAAATCAAACAAAAATGTCATCACAAATACATACCTCTAGTCTTACACCTAAATCCTAAACTTAATACAAATTAATATGTTTTATTTAACTCTAATGTTAGAAAATCTTTATAGACAATCTTATGTCTCCATAATTCATTTATATCATATTCTTTGATCTTAAAATTTCTATAATCTGTAAACCATTGAATTATTATAAAATTTATAATAAATATTTTTCAATACAAACAGAGTTCATACATAATACATGAAATAAATCTATTTAAATCACAATCACTTTCTTTATTACAATTTGTTTTAACAATTTCCATATTTACTAGCAATAGATTCCCAGACAATTAGCTGCATTTCTATCACTTCCTAAAAGTTAAATGAAAAATAAAAGTTTGAAGACTTGATGTGTTGGATAAAATTCATGTCAAGAGTCAGTTATGTAACTTCATAGCCATTAGTGAACAGTTGATTGCCCTTCAAATCCATCGTCAGCTTTAAGAAGTAAAACCGGTTTTCATTTTCACTCAATGTCTACAAGAACTCCATTTGTGGCATAAATTTTAAGCCATTTTTAATTATATTATATATTTATTGTCATTTCAATTCAATTTCCATTATATTTGTCAGAATTTATTTCATTTCGAGTAAATATTTGGCGAAGAAGTTTGTGTCAAACAATGGGTGAGATATTACTTCTAGTGATGTCTTCGTGTGAGACAAAGCAAACACTCCTTAAATATACGACTTTTGCTTTCATTTGTCAGGTCTTAGACTAATGATAGCCATAGTGTTGGCGGCGTCGATGGGTTTGGTGTCCACGGATATGATGCGGAAGTCCATTGTGTTTGACTCGAAGACACCGAAAGTCTTCTACTGTCCGCAGGAGAAGCCCATAGATATGTCGAAAATGATAGTGAAAGCCATACCTCTGGAGAAACTGTGCGAATACGGACCAAATGGGTTGCCAAAGAAAGCCAGATCTGACTGTTATAATGATATCGATGAGAGTGAATATGCCTGCGCTGAGAAGCAACGCATCGAGGTATGTGTCACACCATTCATACCACACATTATCTCATTTGCTAGCTATCAAATTTTAT